ATCATTCGGATATTAAAAACCAGCATGATTTTTTTGTATAGACCAATGTGCAGATTACAAACCTTCTGCTAGAAATGCAGCTTTTTCAGAGGTATGTGCTCTCAGAGTGCTTTACAGTAAATAAAGTAATAAAATATAATCTATAAAAAATGTGACTGAAAGATTTAATCAGATAAAAATCAAGTTTAAGAAAACCTGAGCCTTAATTTGCAGTAAATACAACTTAACACGCAACTATTACAAATGTAGGCTGTGACCTACATGTATTAACTTTTTTAGAGCATGTTAAGTACTCAACAACAAGGCCTGAGAGGCTATTAAGTGCACTGAACTACCCTTCTATGTGCTATTCAGAGAATGACCTTTCATGGGAAATATGTCGCCAACTATAATTATAGTAAATTTAGGAAAAAAAATATGACAATGTGTGAAACCGCCTTACGTTATTATTACATCAAACAGGGAACTCACCACTGCATGAACTAAAAGGCCTACTTGAGAAATCTGGGACTAACCCAACAGCAGGCTGCAGGCTTGGAGCCAGATTGCCATAGCATCTCTCCTGTTAGCCTCCCCAACCCCCCACCTCACCCCACCCTAACTCCCCCCTGGCTCCGTGCTCTCACTGCCCACCACCACTGTTGCCCCCTTTCCTGCCTCCTAAGCTGAATGACAGGTGGCAGAAACCCGATCAGCACGGGCCTTCATCAAGGAAGCACTCCCATCTGAAACGGGCACACTGCCCACTCGCCCACCCGAGGGCCACTGCGCAGGGGCTTTCTGAGGCTGGACTGTGTGTGTGTGTGTGTGTGTGTGTGTGTGTGTGTGTGTGTGTGTGTGTGTGTGTGTGTGTGTGTGTGTGTGCGCATTAAATGAGGCAAGGGATGGGGGAGCTGGGCTACAATGAACACAGAGGCATGGGAGGCAGAAGTGGGGGGCCGAGGGGTGTAATGGACTTTTTGGCTGAAGAAGCGAGCATCGGAGCTGGCACCGGGTGTCCAGGGCTCAAACGGGAAACGGGAGGCTGGCTCCCACAATAGTCAGTGTGAGAGTCCCAGAGGGTCGTCCACAATAGCAGGGCAAGCGGCTGCTGTCAACAATGACCTCCAAGGCCTCGCCGCTTGAACTGAGATGGTCCCACCCTTCAGCACTTCCCTTTTAGTGCTGCCATGCAGCTAATGCAGGGATTATTATTAGGGACATGTATCTGGAACATGTGTGCAATTTGTCAGTGAAGTCCTGTCACTTGGATTTGTCTTAGAGCTTCGGCTACTGTGCTACAATGTACTGTACATACCCTAACCTTTGAAAATAAACCATAACCTTTGAACAAGATATCATTGTTTTAAAGGAAAACCCTGCATTTCCCAGAGTTTCTTGAGTCTAACCCATGTAAATGTCCATAAACCCTTTCCCAAAACTGACAATGAGATGTAACATACTCTCCAGCACCTCGTCTTTATGATACAAAGACATCTCTCTGTACTCAACAACGACTTCCTGCCCTTATACACCGAATCAGATTTGAAAACCTATTGGCTATCACAAGTGCAGCAGAGCATCTTGGCGCGAAATTGGAAATCCACAGTGTAACACAGGCCTGTCCTTGTGCAACCCTGTCCCTGTTCTTCATGAAAAAGTTTATTTGTCTAAAATAGCTCTACAAGCAATCACTCTATGGGCTGGAGTGATTGTAAGTGGAGGGGGTGGGGGGCTGGGGGGGGTAGCATAAGAGGGGGGGTTCCAACCAGGAGGAGATTTAATTAGTGAAATCTCATTAAGTCTAACAAAATTAAGCGTAAAACAATCCTTGGTGGGGAATCGTGCTGGAGGTTTTGGGTGGGTGAAAGCGGGGGAACACTTAGGGGCTGAGAGGACATGGAGACTGGCTGTGCGATTAGTCCGGCCTGTGTGTTGGAAGACACAAATGGCTTAGTATAACCAGACCTCCCCTGGCAATCAACTAGAGACTGCCATGTGTGTACAGATCCCCCATTGTCCTGGCTCTTATTTTGTCTGCGGCCTCTTCCCAACACAAGGGCATTTAAAGAATCTGACTACAAAGCCTAATTAGGATTTAAGGACATATTTGCAACAGCGAAAAGTTGAAAAAAACAACTTTACATGAATGGGTTATTGTTACAAGAGTAGAGAGTAGAGTGTACAGAGTAGAGCGAGTTTGAGTCTTGGAGCCAGCAGTGAAAATGTTGTTGTGGAATAACTGTCATTAGACAACGGACGATTCTGCAAAATGTTGTATTTCATTCAACACCAATGTTTTCTAATGGTCTAACATTTTTTTTTTAACATTTTGTTAACCGGTATTACATATCATTACGTACATTTTTTTCTCTTTACTTGGACAGCTCAAGATAGACAGGAAAGGACCCCAGATTGGAGTTGAATATGGGAGTCAGTACATGGGGCTCCAGCTCTATCTCCCCATGGTGGATACTTTACAAGCACCGACCAGGTAAAGCATTCATTACCACATTGGTTTTGCTTGTTTCATTAGGCTACGATATTAAAAACAAACCTCCAAACGTCATTATGAAACTGAGAGAGAAACATTTTTAGGACTTTGAGACAGTCCTAGCTATGGCAAACAAACTATGGCTAAGGTTAACACTTGGTGAAGCTAAGAGAAAGATCATAGTTACCCTTTATTAAACGCCAATAACTGCAAGTGAGATGAAAAGTGCAGTCTCCCACGTGAAAATTGGACTTACTACACATCCATTTTCACATAAAAATCACAGTACCTACGTTACCGCTAAATGTTGGCACTGGGTGTAAACTGTGAGGCGCCGAACCCCTCAACACCTATATTTCTTTGAATACTGAGTTGTGTCAAAAGTGAACATGTAACACCCATCCTTCAACAGTGTGACTATCACGATTCCTTGAGAAAAAAAAAAGTTTAACCCACAGCTGATCCTGTGAAGCAACCAGCACTATAAGACTGCTGTTATACTCGGTAGCTGCCAGACACTGATGAATGTTCTGTTTGGTTAAAAGTTTTTATGATAGCAAAATTTTGAATTTCATCCAAAATGGAACTGTGAAAAACCTACCCAAACCAGATTTTTATTTTTATTTTTTGACAAAGAGACCCAATATGAAATGGACATGAGAACCGGTCAGACACAACCAAGGAGCACTGACAACAGCACGATACTCCCACACAAAACACATTTTCCCCCTGCAGTGATTATGATGCACGCATGGAGGTAAGTCTGCTCAAATCCTCCAGGTTTCAGACATACAGACACTCAGGCTCAAGACTCGCAGAAATATGGGATGCTAATTATAACAATGATAATAATTTGGCCTGGGTCCGACTTTGGTTCTATATTGAGTGTCAGTTACTAGGAATGATGGTGACTTTCCATAGATAAATGGACTTAAGGTACTGCACAAAAGCACTAACAGCAGTAGTTTTAATAGTAGCTCTCTGCCTTATGAAGAGAACTGTGGTTCCAGCTCAATACAAGGGGAAGAAAGAGCTTGAACCTTTTTTTAGTTCAGCAAGAACAACCACAACTTTTTCATTTCTTCAAATCAATCTGCAATTAGTTGCAAACATGGGGAAACAGAGGACACTGAAGTCCTTTGGCTTATTTCAATCTGAACCACAGGGACAGGCAGTAATATTCCAGTGCTCCAAGATAGCAATTTACACCTAATATCATTGTCTCTGGAACAACTCAGGGGGAGGTGGACGTGGCAACAACAACAAACAACAAGACAATTCTGGCAAACAATTTCTTGTGCATGATCTAACCCCTGTAATCACCATATTCAGCAGTTATGGTTATAATAACTGGTTGTGATCCCTAAGAAATGTCACATAAGTCATCACAACACACTACACACTGGTATTTATCACAGCTACAGCAACATGGACACTTAAATATCTTGTCAAAGCAACTGCTATTCTAAATATCACTGAATAACCAACTAGTCTGACATGTCAAGCTAATTTGTGCTGCTACCTTGTTTTAGCTGTCAGTGTAAGCAACCTGAACACAACATTACCATGTGTTCCACTTGTCAAGCCAGATAAACTTTATTTGCACTATGTTTTACTTAAAAGTAACATGGTTAGCTCACTGCCTAAAGTGACCTGGCAGGAAGAACTCATGAGTCATGAGCATCCAAAAAAACATTTGGAGACACCAATGGCCTGTTCTGTACTGGATATACAATATAGAACCACTATCCGTTCCAAAGCAACATTGAATAGAGACAATTGCTTGTTAGAAACCAGTATACTGCCATAATCTTAATCTAAAAGCACCAGGTACCATTGGAAAGGAATGGTTGTCATCTGTCATTTGAGCCTATTTACATTTGCTTTTGGTTCCCATTGCCTCACCATTTCTTATCAAGACCACAAACAAGATGTTCTTCTCATCAGAACATAATAATAGCCAATCAGTTCAAATCTAAACATATACAGTAAAAGTGGTGGCCTAAAGCTAAATTGTCACCCTTATTGAAGACAGCACCAACATCCCAAATTCCCACCGGATCACTTTCATTTTCACCCTGATACAGGATGCAAATAGTGTGTTTGTTGGAGAGTGACTCATCAGTCATATTTTTAAAAAGATATAGATTGAAGTTCAAGCATGAACTGAGCACAGAAATCAAAATTCTCAGTTAGGGGTTGAAGAAATATTGAGAAAATGTGCTCAAGGAATTGAAATGATCGTTTGGTTTCAACCGGCTTGAGTCAACCGCAGCGGGTGGGTGATCATTATGCCAATGTGTTTATAGCATGAATTACATTTGATTGTGTGCTCTTAAATTAAATCACAGAGCTGGCCTCTGAAGAAACAGACTAACTCTGCCAGATATGTTGTTACGGAAAGTCTATCAAGACAGAATGAACATGAAACACATACTTTCAAATTGCACATAGCTTTGTTAACAAGCACAAGCTTATACAACCTGGTTATATCATAAGGTTTATAGGAAGGCAGTTGATGACTTACAGTTAGCTTGCCCACAGCAACCGGCAGCTCTCAGTGTTCTCTCTGCTCCGTGGACCGGGTATCCAACTCTCCACACAAAGCCTGTGGACACAGACCAGATCAGTGAAAAAATGTAAAAGATGTCAGTGCAAACAAGCATACAATATATGGCCAACTGCATTTTTTTACTGGAAGGATAGTAAGTCATTATCTTCACCTGATAAAACACAGAAAACCTAAGTTTTTGCTGGTTTCAACAGGTTAAATTTAAGACTTCTTAGGGGACTTTAGCACAGGTTTTAGTTTAATTCAATATTCTATGTATATTTTTAACATTTTGTCACTACTACAGAAACACTATGTAACTGCAAAAGTGTGATAAAGTTGTCTGGCATTGACTGCCGTTAGTTATTAGTCTGATTAATGGTTTAATCATGTTTGTATTGATTACTGGCACTGGCTAATCAGGCTAATCTTCAGTTTATTTTACTCAGTTTGTAATGGCAGCATGGTGTAAATGGTTGCCCTTTGTACCTGTTTTTAAACTTGTTATTAATGGTGTTATTGATAACTCCTGATTAAATGTAGCTTGGAGACCAGACAGACTCCCATTACAAGTTTGAAAGCCATGTAGTGTGTCCAAGGTTTAAAGGCCAAAAACTTCAGATTAGATTAGATTAGATTTTTTAAGACCCTGTAACACCTTACAATCACAAGTCCACTGGCAGCCTCTGAAGTCTTAGTACCGGTGCCGATGCAGTGGTTCATGAGTCAGTCTGCTTCACACACCAACTGATATACGTTTAAAGGAAAGCTGGTGTTATTCTCTATTTTTCTTACTGTCAACAACAGAATTTCACTTCACGACTTCCCCTTGAAATCAATGAAATGAGGCGGTAGTAACAGTACCTCTTTTGTCCACAGGGGCCATCAAGATCAACACAAAATGAAAGTTCCTCATTGGCTGATTTAAGTATATACAAATTGGTCTTTTTTCTGTACTGTTGTCCATCATTCTTAACCATTATAACATTTTACTTTCCTGTTTGTTTGCCTAGATCTAGGGACATAGCAAAAGCAGTGGGCCAGGCAAAAGAGTTCAGAAAACCAGTTTTGAATTCCACAATTTGAGTAAATAAACCAATTTTTGGTATCTTGCCTTGCAACAAAGACCCCTGCTGGATTCAAACCGAGTGTAGTATGACAACATGATGAACCTTGGTTGAAAGGGGAATATGAAGTAAGTCTGAAAAATCAATTGGATGTCTTTAATATTAAATTAATAAAAACATGGATACGTAATAATCATAAAATAAGTCAAAAATTAATTATATAACTATTATATTATATGATTTTAACTATTGGTTGTGTACTTGTAAGTTTGTAGTATAAATTATAGTGTCTAAGTACTTGCACAGGAAAACGTGTTTTTTGAGGCATACCTGTATACATTAGTGCTTTCTTTGTTTATATCGGGTTGTTACTGCCTTACAATGACAATTTACTTAATTTAGAGTTAATCCATCATTTTTACGCAACTCTCTACTGCTGCAAACAAAATGCATCTGATTATAATTTTCAGTGACATAGGTGAAAACAGGGAGGTCAGAAAACCACTGTGACTCAAATTCCTTTGAGCAATTGACTGGCTGGCCATGCCTGATCCACATGGAGCGTAGCGTTGCAGAGACAGTTATGGCGCACATGCAAAAGATTTAAGTTCAATCAAGCATTCAGGGCTGGACACCTGATCTTTCGCTTAAAGCTCCTCCAGAACAGTGGGAGTGTGGTCGGGCCTCACAGCAGGCCACCTACCTCCAGCGATCTGCTAACACAGAGCCTCTGAAGGGATGGTATTTATCCAGTCCCGCACAGCTCAGTGGGGACTACTGTGTGTGTGGTAGGTACCAGAGGCCCAGAGTGGATGGCAAAGGGGGGGTTGGTTGGAATGAAAGCTGTGGCGATTTAGCGAAAGGAGCCAAAATATTTCTGTCTTTTAGTTTTATCAATCTCCCTAAAAAGCATGGCTGAATAATACAAAGTTCATGTTCTATCCCACTGTCATGCAAATTATGAGGAAACTCAATTAGGAGTGTTTACATGATCTGAGATAAAGTGGTTCATTGAACATAGAATGGATAAACATTGGGAGATTTTATGAGATAATTGCAGAAGCATTTTTTGAAGATTGTTTTCAAGGATTAGTATTGTGCAAGTTGTCATTGCTCTTTGGTGTCCATTTTTTCAGCTGAAGACAAAAAGAAACAATGTGCCTGATACACTGCAATCTCAAGAAAATAAAAAGGCCTTGTTTCTTGGAAATTAGTCTTATTTTTTATCTGAAAAGGAAAGAAAATATTCTTGTCAAGCATGTTTTGCATTAGTAAAGTAATCTGGTTTTAGGAAAATATTTCTTTTTAAAACTTTGTTGATATCACAGCTAATATTGAGCTAGATTTAACCAGTAACAACAATGGTTTGTATAATATCCCAGCAGAGGAATTATTTTCCTTCTTTTAAGAGGAAGACTTGCACTTGCATAGCACGCTTCTGGTGTCTTCATTTAAGACAAAGTCACTTATTTTTATTCTGCTGTTTGAAGAAACTGTGTAAGATTTGTTTAGATTGAGGTACACATTCTTAAATTCAGCTCAATAAAGTAACCGAAATATATATTTTAATAAAGTCTATCTTAACTGAGTTTTTTCCATTGCTTGTAATAAGCACAACTTGTTTACATTTGTGGCATTTTTTCTAGTTTTAAGGTCCATTATAGTTTTTCAAAGGCTAGATTTTTATATGTAGTTCTATCTGTTCTAGTTTCAAGAATTCTAGCCATTGGCAGATTTTTTTGCAGAATACATGAAAATCTGACTATATTTCAGAATATTTGGCTTGTTTCTAGAAGGGCTTTTGCAGTGTGTTGTTGTAATACAATAATTGTTGTTGTGTCTTTTGGAATTGGTTGAAACAGTTTCTTTATCAACAAAAAGCCTTTCCATTCTTACATTTATATAAAACTGTATAATTCTAATTATTTATTTGGAGAGAAATTCAGCTATAGTACTAGTTGCAGCTGGCTTTATTTCTACTCGGCTCTTTTTTAACGATAAGATTTGAAGCTCAAAACTCTGAAAGCAAGTAGGGCATGTTAATGATAGTAGCTCAAAGCCCAAGAAAACGAGAACTTCTTTAGGATGTAGCTTGAGTTTCCCTGCCAAACAGCCCTCTCAGACCATGGGAGATTTGGGTGAGAGCATTTCTTAGGTTTCTTTCAGCCACAAAGAAAACATTTTAGCCTCTCAGTAATCCTTCCCGAAGCCCTCCCTAAGCTCCAAGGGCCCTTCCTCCCTCGGTCATCCCTCCGGCCCCGTCTGGGATCCTGGAGGAGCGTCTCTGTATACTGAAGCCCACCACACATGCACCATTTGCCATCTCTCCATAACCCCTCTGGGACCCAGCTGACCTTCCTGTTGACGTCAAAAGTAAATCAGAGTGGGAGCTGGTGCAGCGAGGGGCTCCACCCAGGGGGCTGGAGGTCTAATCACCGTGTTCCTCACAAAAGCCACAGAGGAAACATTAGCATTCCTGAACCTGCCTGCTATTGCTCACACTGCAGTCTCTATATGTGTGCACAGGTACACACAAAAACAGTCAGTGGAGGAAAGTCACTCATTTATTTTAAACTTCTACTCCACTGAGAGATAAATATAATACTTTTCTCCAGTACATTATTCTGACAGCTATGGTTACTGGTTACTTTGCAGATCTTTATTGTCCCACAAAAGGAATTTCTTATTGCAGCAAGGCAGCATAAATACATAAAGAAATATATAAATATAACAATCAAAGACATTAAAAGTGCTAGTATTATATATCTAATAAAGAATTCATGTAAGCCTGCTATTGGTTGCAACAGGTGGAGCTCCCAACTGACTGAACTACCCAACAGTATACAAAGTAGTGAAAATTTAGAGCGTAAACAATTAGTCAATTAGTCAACCAACAGAAAACTTATCTGCATCTACTTAGATAAATGGTTGATTGTTTCAATTATTTCTAAGCAAAAATGGTAAACATTCCCTGGATCCAGCATCTCAATCATGACGATTTCCTGCTTTTCTCTGTTTTTCAGAATATAATTGAAAATTGTATCTATTTATAGATTTATTTCTCTCCCTCTCTTTTTGGCACTTTGTTTTATTTGACAGTCACAGTATGTGTTAGGTCACATGGTATGTGCCTAAACCATTAAGCTACCAGAACACACATTTTATTTATTTTTTATTTTATAAGACATTATAAACAAATTAAGGTAATAATCAGCAGACTAATCAATAAGGAAAATAATGAGTTCCATCCCGACCTATTACAACATTTAAATGCTGCTTATACGTTATGGCATCAGCAATTCTGCTTAAGACAACTTTTACATTTAATACTTTAACAATATTTACATTTTCGATAATACTTATATATGTACTACAAGCAGTTTTTAACTGCTTATGAGACAGTCTCAGTTTAATACTGATGCCTCTGGATGACCTACATAAATAAACAAGGCTATTTATATGTAGTCATTATTGTCACTAGGTTGGATTTGGTTAGATTCCCCTTGAAATCAATGAAAAGAGGTAGTAGACACACTACCGCTTTTGTCCACAGGGAGCGCCAGAATCAACATAAAATGAAAGTGGTTTTTGAGGGCTTTAAAAGACCTGTGTGTGCGATTTAGGGGCATCTAGTGGTGAAGTTGCAGATTGCAATCAACTGAATATAGCTCGCCTTCTAAGCGTGTACTTTTGGAGGAAACTATGGCAGCTGCGAATCCCACAAAAAATGTGAAAGGTCCTAGCTAGAGCCTGTGTTTGTCCATTCTGGGCTACTGTAGAACCATGGGTAGGTTTAACATGGCCATGAGTCCATAAAGGCCCCAGTCTCTCTGTAGATATTCTAAGGAAACAAAAACACAATGATTCCTATATTCAGATGATCAAACACTAACATACACATACTTATAAATATTATATTCCATTTTTGATGGAATAGATCCTCCTAAATGTTAGACACTCAACCTAAGTATAATTCTGAAGACTTTTACATGAAGAACACTCAAGTAAAACTGAAGACTTTCCACAATACTGATCATCCTTATACCCACATCCACAGCCAGTGGATTCTGCACTGATGAGACCATGCTGAAGGAATTGGATTCAGAGAGCACTACTCCCCGGACAAGTTGTGCTTCTTGTGAAATTATTGTTTTATTGTTGCACTGTGTACAACATTTGCTCATATCAATAATGGGATATGCTCCAATGCATCAGGCAAACCCTGGGAGAGAATCTAGCTTCATTTGACTCATCTGATTTTGCTGCTCACATTCGTGGCGAAGCAGGTCTGGAGAAGACACAGACATGATTAAATATTCACAACTTCCCGCCTAAACTTTCTCTCTAATCATATGGAGGCTCTGTACAGCGGAGAGGAAATTCCAGATGGACATCTTTAAGATTCCCAAATCCTCCTCTTTTCGCTAGCAGGAGTTTTGGGGTCAAGGTGTGAAGGGAGGACCAAAAGACCCGTTTCCCACAATCCCTCCGCAGCTATAGCCCCCCAGCTGTTCAAGGGCTTCCATAACAACAGCTGCGCAGAGGTTTAGTGGTTCATGTTGCTATGACAACAGCAGGATCAATTGGCATGCACAGACTCTCGGTGCTAATAGCAAAAGTGACATTATACCATAATTTCATTTCAATAAAACACAGGCAGGTTTTTTACTGCACTAAGATTCAGGGGCACATAAAAAAAGGAGGCAAATAATTAATTTTGCATGACAATGCCTGTGGCTCGTGCGATCAAAACTCGCAGGAATCTCCCACGCATATTGACAACCAACCCAGCAACCTCACACTTCAAAATCATTCCCTGGCATTGAAGATTAAGCCCGCTCGGACTGTGATTGTTTCCAAGCTCATACAATAGAAGCTAAATAAGTCTTCGTGCCCGGCAGCTGTATGTGCCACAGATCACTGACCGGCAGGATGTGCAACAATCAGAAATATTTCTGTTCTCCTGACAAACAGGATATCGGGTCACTTGGCCACCTTAACAGTGAGACACCATTGGGGGGGGTTTATACTATTGTACAGGGCCACGGAGAACTAAATCTCAGCTGTACTTGAGGTTTATACATGTAGGACAATAGAATCTCAGGGGGCGTATCACAAGCAGAACCCTCACATGTTGTGGAAGTGAATTGCAAAACCTAAAACTTGCACTATTCCTTCCCATGTAACAGTTGGTCAGAGCTCAGTTCTTGCAGCTTTTATCTGGCCGGCCAAACTTCAACCATTTAAGGCCAATTCCAGGGAATTATAAGGGGCTCACAATGACAATGGCAGGTATTCCCACAGGGGTAACCAGAGCCGACACGGCATCAGCACGGGTTTAAGCCCAACATTTAACGAGCATGCAGCTGTGCCAGACAAAACACAGCACAGACACATACATTTAGCCTACATACACACACACACACACTTCATCTAACTTCCAGCATGACACAAGGTTTTCTAACGTTGTGTCTCTGCCACTAATCGACTCTTGGCTGATATTCGGCATTGATTATTCCTCCCTGTCTCACAGAATATGATAGCCCCTTGCAAACGGTGGGGGAAAGCCAAACAGGAATCCACTGCTAAAAATACCCATGTCGTGATGAGTCAGGATGGATTGAGCAAACAAAAAGAGGCCGGTCTAATTTCCTCCAGTCTGGGCTTTCTGTAAAGACTTTCGGAAAAGAAGTTCCAATGCTCAGTGCCACTAGTGGATTCCTCTATTTAATGAATCGAGCTGCTTCAAGAAGAGGGGAAAAGAATCTGCAGACTAGTGGGATAAAAAGAGATTATCCAAATGGAGGCTAATGATGTGAAAAAGAATCACAGACTTAAAGAGAATAAAGGTGCAGGGAACATAAAAGTGTTTTGTACTGAGATGTTTGGGGGTGTTCAGTGACACTGAATTCCTAATATTGACTCAAACCTTCAAGGAATGTATCTGTGTCTAATATATCATCTAGATGTGTGTAGTTAACACATTATACTTATATGCCTACACAATAGGCCTTTTTCACAGCAGCCATTTTGATATGAAATAGGATAACACAAGTGTTAGCAATAATACAAAGGTTCTATTCCATTCAGGTCAAACAGGGTCAGGGGGCTGCTATTATGCATGTTGGGTCAGTAGAAAAGCTCCGTTAGACTAAATGGAACAGAACCTT